TGTACACAAACTCAATTTTCAGTGATGGTTTGAAATATGATTATGAAAGAAAAGATAAAAAGGGGATAAATGCTGCCAAGAAATTGAGTATAAGATCCCAAGTTATAATAACAAAATCCCACTGAGTAGAAATGAAGAAGGAAAGCATAGAACATGCATTGACTTACAAATAAAAAGAGACTAGTATTTTATTATTGGCATTGATAGTTATAAAGTAATTATTAAAGTATGATTTTAAAACATCTTAAATTTAATCATCAGAAATATAAAAACAGAATGGCTCAGCAAGTAAAGAATCTGCCTACAATGCAGGAGACACAGGAGACTTGGGTTCAATCTCTGGGTCAGGAAGATCCCCTGGAGAATGAAATGGCACCTCACTCAAGTATACTTGTCTGAAAAATCCTATGGACAGAGGAGCCTGGTGGGCTACAATCCAATGTATATATATACACACATATAATTTTGAAATTACCAGAGGTAAAGTTCAGCAAAATAAAAGAAAGAATGAAAGATTTTAAGAAGAGAAGGTCATCCAAGCACATATATTGAACTCTCTCCTGCTTATAACTGCTTAGTGAAATAACCAACAAAGCATATCAATAGGTTAACATCTCTACATCATAGCTAAAAATTCATAGAGGCTATACACAAGCCAGAAATTTCAATATACATATAAATAAGACTGAATTAAAGGATGGAGCACAAATATACTATTCACTTACACAAAAGAGAAGCTTGCAGGAGACACAGGTTCGATCCCAGGGTCAGGAAGATCCCCTGGAGGAGGAAATGGCAACTCACTCCAGTATTCTTGACTAGACATTCCCACAGACAGAGAAGCCTACAGTCGAGTCATGGGGTCACAATGAGTCAGACAAGACTGAATGAGCATGTGCCCACACGCATGCATGCATGCACACGCACACACACACACACATCTCTTCAAACAGTGCTTATACCCTATTGTCTATCTCACTTTTCCTTTTAGGACTCTGATTATACATGGTTTAGACCTTTTCATCTTATATCCATACCTTTTCATCCTTATTCTATGTTCATTCATTTTCCCTGTGTATTTTAGCCTGGATATTTCTACAAATCTATACTTTCTTCTGCTGTTTCTAATCTGCTATTATGGCCATCTATTTAGTTCATGATTTTAGTTATCATTTGCTTCTATTCTCAACTTCCCATATAATTCCATTTTATGGATTCCAGTTCTTTGGTGAAATCCTATATCCTGCCATCTATTTTTGTAAATACTTATTACAAGGGTTTTGTTTTGTTTTTTGATACACAGGTCCTAGTACCTATTTCTAACTCTAGTACCTATTTCTATCATCTGATTTTCCTCTTGTTCTTGTCCCATGATAAGACTGGTAATGCTTTATTGAATTATTGGCATAATCTATAAAAATTTGTATACTCTCTGGTTGGTGTCATCTTCCTCTAGGGTGTTTTTTTAAGCTTCTTGGAGGCAGTTGAAACAGCAACAAATTTCATTATTCAAGTTAGGTTTGAATTAATTAAGACTGGGTTTCAGTCTTCGTAATATCTAGTCTATTTAGGATTATATTTCCCTTTCTCCTAGGGTATAGCCCTTCAAGGATACAAACTATCACCTGAGGTGTTTACCATAGCTTTGAATTCCAATTTTTATGTCCTAGGACTATGAAACTGCCAATAAATCTGGTCAGTTTCTCAGCCTCTTAGAAGCTGCTTTCTGCTTGACTTTTCTTCCTTTTACTGCTTAAAAACTGGTAAATGCCTAGATAAAAAATATGACTCAGATAAAGTCATTTTCTGCATATCACTGCCTTCAGGGATCTTGCAGTCTCAAGTTCTAAGTCCATGATTATTTTTTACTTCTCAGTTTCTGGTTCCCGAGCTCCCAGCTGGTGGCTCAGCTGGTTAAGAATCTGCCTGCAAGGCCAGAGACCTTGGTTTGATCCCTCGGTTGGAAAGATTCCCCCAGAGAAGGGAAAGGGTACCCACTCCAGTATTCTGGCCTGGAGAGTTTCATGGACTGTATAGTACATAGGATTGCAAAGAGTTGGACACAACTGAGCAACTTTCACTTCTGGTTCCAAATTACCCATCATTAGACTGCTAATATCTGTGATAGTTTTATTACATCCAAAGCATGGTCCAAAGTGAAGTGAGACAAATAAGGACAAAAAAGTAGATTTTTATAAACCTATATAAATTCAATTTAAAGGTAAGTCTTTTAATCTAAGATTATGTCTACTTTTTAATGCTTAAATGCAAAAATTCTGATTGTAATTCTTTCTTGAAAAGCCTGTGATGGTGGACCATAGTTGAATTTTGATTTGTTTTTATTTTTGCCTTTATTTGACCAAATAAAATATTGACAACCTGTATCAGTTCCAAATATGCTTTTTCTTTTTGGACAGTTTCCTAGTATTTGAAATCCAAAAATCTGAGATTCTTTTCCGTAGTCTACTGATCTACCTCCTTCTTCAACATTGGCCCTTTCTGCTTTCTCCCTTATCTACTGTTTTTCAGGAATAAAGGCCTCTTTTCATTTCCTGCTCCAGCATCTTTACATATGCTGGCTCCAGTGTCTGGATTTTATGGCCCATTACCCTCCACCTTCATATAATTCACTTCCTCTAAGCAGTCGGGTCTCAAAAAGAGACTCTCAGTACAGAGGCCTTCCCTGTGTTGGCACTATCTGCCCCCTTGACAAAATGTTAATTTCATATAATTTGACTACATACTTGTCCATTGTTTGTTCCTCTAGACTATAAGAACCATGAAGGCAAGTTCTGGGCTAGTTTATTTTTTTAACTTATTCATTTGGCTGTGTTGGGTCTTAGTTGCGGCCTGCAGGATCTTCATTGCGCCATGCGGGATCTTTTGTTGCAATGCACAGACTCTGTAGTTGTGGAACTGGGTTTCTGGAGAGAGAGCCAGTAGTTGTGGCACGCAGACTTAGTGGCTCCATGGCATGTGGGATCTCAGTTCCCCAACCAGGGATTGAACCCACATCCCCCACATTACAAGGTGGACTCGACCACTAGACCACCAGGGAAGTCCCTCTGTGTTAGTTTCACAATTGTTAAACTCCTTGCCCACACCAAGGTATAAAAAACATCATGGAGCTGGAGACTTGGGTAGTATAAGGATTTCTGAAGGTTTTTTTGAGAAATCTGTGCTGCGAGCCTAAGCCTCCGTCTGCTATACAGAAAGAGAAGAGACAAGGGCTTCGATCTGCTAACCCCCAGTCAAGAGGAAGAAATTTGGGGAATGCCAGCTGAAGAGTTCAGTAGGTGGCTCTTGCAGTTGGTTGGTATCTAATTCACACTTGAGATACATAAGGGCTGAGAGCTCAGCTGCAGTGGACTGTGTAAGCAGAGAAAGTGTTGCCGTATTGGCTCCTAGAACTGGGGAGTTTCTTTAGCGAAGTTCACAGGAGAGTTTCCAATGAACCAGATGCGGGCTGCATGCAAGACAGTCACTGTGAGTTGTCTTAGGAACAAACATACCAAGACAGCTGCTGAGGGGGTGAGTATACATAAATAGGGAGAGGTTGGGACATGTCTAGGTGTCCTAGAATAGGAAAGAGCAGCGTTACCAAGTTAGAGGATTGCGAATACCACGTCTCAAGTGAACCGCACACAAAGGATCCCAAGGGATTGGGTTGGGGGGAAGGAGGAGATAACGTCTCAGAGAAATCCATCAAAGTGCTCACAATAGATAAAAGGTAGCTTTAAATACTCCTAACCAGATGGCATCAATACCTGCTCCCTAAATTAATGGCAGGGGCTTCCCATGTGACTCAGTGGTAAAGAATCTTTCTGCCAGTGCAAGAAATGAGGGTTAATAATTGGGCTGGGAAGAAGCCCTGAAGGGAATGGCAACCCATTCCAGTATTCTTGCCTGGGAAATCCCGTTGACAGTCCATGGGGTCACAAAGAGTCAGACACGACCAAGCAGCTGAGCACACACACACACTCTCCTCCTCCTCCTCTCCTCTTGCCAAAATCTCTTTTTCTGAGTAAGTATGGAGAAGGCAGAAAAGGCTGAAGAGTTGCCCTTCCTAACCTGAAGCCCTTCCAGTAGCAGCCAACCACAGTTAGGAGAGAAAAGACACAAATTCACACTGAGATAGACCACTCAGAAAAAATCGTATTCTAGGCAAAGGCAAAGCACTTTTTAAATAAAGTAATAAGCATGGAAGCATTTTGGTTGTATGACAACAAGATGAAAATGCCCATTCATGGTTCTTAATATATTCCTCTAATTCTTTTTTAACAAATACAAGTACATACCATTTTTACTTTTTAATTTTGCCTTTATCTCGTTTGCCAGTGGATAAGTGGAATTTATGGTGTTTAACCGATCCTTGATTTGAATAAAGACCATTTATACCAGTGATTCAAATGGAACCTTGATCAAAATTTTGAGATTAAGTAGTCTTATCCCCTCTATTTTCCTTAATTATTGCCTTGGCATTTATCACAGGATATATTTTTTATGGGGGCAAGGCATGAGGGATGATGCCAAGGAAATATAAAATGCTCTAATATATGGGGTTTGGCTTATATATTTAGTTGGTGATTGGGGAGGTACACACCACTTTTAAAAAGTAAAAGACAAACACAAATAAACCCCACTCTTTTCCTATCTGAAAGTGAAAGTGTCAGTCACTTCCAACGCTTTGGGACCCCACAGATGGTAGCCCGCCAGGCTCCTCTGTCCATGGAATTCTTCAGGGAGGAATACTGGAGCGGGATGCCATTTCCTATTTCAGGGCATCTTCCTGACCCAGGGATCAAACCCAGGTCTCCTGCATTGCAGGCAGATTCTTTACTGTCTGAGCCACCAGGGAAGCCACCAAATATTTAGACATTGCAGATGTTATACCCCCAGCACAGTACTTCCTAAAGCCATGAAGCCAAGTTGTCTTCCCAGCGCCACCATCCAAAGGCGCTGATGTCCCACGGAGGAGAGTAGATAAAGCTGCCACTTACCTGCCAGTCAAACATCTCCGCAGAGAATATGAGGCTCCTCCCCCGCAAGTCCTCGAGCAGTCACTCCAGTCTCCCCAAGCGTCCCAGTTGCTATCTTTCTCTTCATCTGAACGAGTGTTTCTTGAGGTCTGGAAAGTGGAAAGCACAGTAAATTATAGACAAAATGCTAGAGACATCCCAAAGGCTTTCCTAGTTTTTCCAGAGTCTGAGTCTAAGCTGTTCACAAACACTAAAGTTGCCTGAAAGGGCTTTGCTTCAGAATGGTTACATCAAACACACACAAAAGCTGGTTGTTTTTTTTTTAATATTTATTTATCTATTTGGCTGCACTGGGTCTTAATTAAAGGTACACGGGATCTTCGATCTTCACTGGGGCATGTGGACACTTAGTTGTGGCATGCAGGATCTAGTTCCCTGACCAGGGATTGAACTGGGGCTCACTGCATTGGGAGCACAGAGTCTTAGCCACTGGGCCACCAGGGGAGTCCCACACATAAGATAGTTTTATATGGAAACTAGAGGCACATGAGTACCTTTCCACTTATGAGGGTTTTATCCAGATGGCTTCCCAGCTCAGTTTTAAATGTGATATTTTATCATTTCAACATTTAAATACATTGGCTAAATATTAAAAGTAATATTTATTATTATTAATTTGTTTTATAACTTCATAGCAGGGTCCTAGCTTGTACCTAAGGCATTCTCACCTCCTGAGAGAGGTTCCACCCCAAGAAGACAAAATAGATAAAGCTTCAGGGTCCAAGAAAATAGAGAAAGTTCAATTATGAATACAGTCAGTTTAATTTGTTTTCTGGACTTGCTACCATTGATTTATATCAATATAGTGTGTGTGCATGTACGTATGTGTGTTAGTTGCTCAGTCATGTCTGACTCTTTACAACCCCATGGACTGTAGCCCACCAGGCTCCTCTGTCCATGGGATTCTCCAGGCAAGAATACTGGAGTGGGTTGCCATTTCCTCCTCTAGGGGATCTCTCTGACCCAGGGATCAAACCCAGGTCTCCTGCATTTCAGGCAGATTCTTTACTATCTGAACCACCAGGGAAGCGCTTATATCAAGATACATTAGAGAAAAGAGAACTGGGAAAGTTTAAAAATTTTTAAATATATAGATGGATATAGGCTCAATGGTAAACAATCCATCTGCCAATGCAGGAAATGTAAGAGACATGGGTTCAATCCCTTGGTCAGGAAGTTACCCTGGAGAAGGAAACAGCAACCCACTCCAGGATTCTTGCCTGTGAAATCCCATGGACACGGGCACCAGGTGGGCTACAGCACATGGGGTTGCAAAGAATCAGATACACTGAGTGACTGAGCACACATACACATAGAAATGAAAAGAAATGATGTGTATTACTTAAATAAAATTACAAAACTTTACAGAGGACTAAAGCAGACTCGAAAAATGGAGAAACATACCATAGTCCTAAATAGCTAAACTCAGTACTGCAAAACGTTAATTCTCTCCAAATTCATCTATAAATTTATAACAACTCCAGTCAAAATCCCAAAAGGGGGTTTTCTGGACCTTAACAAATGATTCTAAAGTTCAACCAGTGGAGTAAATGTCTACAAGAGCCAAGAAAAAAACTGTAAAAGATGGGAAACTAGAAGGAAATTGCCTCAATTAAAAGAGTATAGAACTGCCATAGCAATAAGCATTCATATCTATTACATTTTCTTAAGAAGCCCAGAAACAGACCCAAGTATAAGGACATAGTATAGAACCACAAGCCAGTGTGATGAATGGTTTAAAAGAAAACCATAGATAACTTCTTCACAAGATACACCAAAATTAATTCAGATATATTCCAGAAATCAATATTTTAAATGTGGAAACTGTAAAATAGTAAAAAAGTTATAGACTAAAAGTCACACAGACTTGATGTAACAAAGATTGTCCTAGATATATCAACCAAGGTAGAAATCCTAAAGGAAAAGACTAACAGATTTAATTACATGAAAATGGAAACACACATAGCATTTTCTATCTCACCTATAGATAAAGGGATAAGTATGTGAATATCCAGGCATCCTAGGTGGCTCAGAGGTAAAGAATTTGCCTCCGAATCCAGGAGACATAAGAAACGCAGGTTCGATCCCTGGCTTAGAAATATCCCCTGGAGTAGGAAATGGCAATTCATTCCAACAGTCTTGCCTGGTAGATCCCATAGACAGAGCCTGGCAGGCTACAGTCCATGCAGTTGCAAAGAGTCAGACATGACTTAGTGACTAAACAACACCAACAAATGTGAATATCCACATGAAAATGCAGCAATAAAAGCACAAGCATATGGGCTGGAAGAAAACCACCAAGATGCCTCTGAGGATGGAGAGAACAAGATGAGGCGTGAAGGCTGTTGGGGAAACACACAAAAGGAGGGTCAAACGAATGTTTTATTCTCCTCCCACCCCCCATAAAAGATCTGATGCAAACATGACAAAACATTCAATTTGATGAAGCCAGGTGGTACTAGAATGGGTGGATTTGACATTTCTCTTTAAAAATTTGGGGGTTAAAAGGCAATCACTGAACGTCCATAGCAGTTCGGAGAAAACAAACACCCATTCTAGTACCACCTGGCTTCATCAAATTGAATGTTTTGTCATGCTTGCGTCAGACCTTTTATGGGAGGGGTGTCCAGAGAAAAGAGTCAGAGATTAATTAAAATGTTAGCAGCTGCTCCCTCTAGGTGGAAGGATGATGAGCAATTTTACTTCTTTTCTATTTGTGTCTCTGCATTTTGTAAAGTTCTTTTGTAAAGCCAACACTTTAATATTTTAATCGAAAACAAGCAAGCAAACAAACAAAACCACATCCTGTTGACATACAGAAAAGCTCAAGTCAGACAGGACTTCAAAAGTGAATCCTATGTTAGAGACCAGGAGAGTTTATGCAGGAAGCCCTGACATCTAATAAACTGTAGCAAGAGACTCCACTAGATATTACACAGATTTCCTTAAGCCTTTAGGCCAAGTTACCTCATCCAACCAAAAAAATAAATAAAAAATTAAGAGTGGGATCTGCAGAAAGGACCTTCAAATGTGAAATGAAGAAATAATGACTCCTAGCAAGGAGGAGGTTTTCCAATAATTTTTACCCACGTCTCACCGGTCAGTCGGTTTCCTGGCTTCTTACCAAGTCACCTATTTATAGCACAGTAAGCAGCCCTACTAGAGGCAATATTTCAGCAAAAGTCAAGTGAAAGGAAAGAATAAATATCTGGCAACTGATCAAGTCTGTCATCAGGGATAAGGGCTAATTAAACCCATATTATTTACTGTTCTAATTAGACCACTGTTCAGTTCAATTTTCTACACCAAATGTCACCACACAGAACTGTGTCCTGTCTATAATGTAATATAAAATAAAGTTTTAATTCATTAAAAAATACAATAAGCAGTTTAATACATTCATCTGGGCTTTTAGGTGGTGAGTTCAAATCATTTTAGGTAAACATTTAAAATATACACAGCTGAAATTGATTTTTCATTTTGTCACTTGATATACTGATAGGTTGAATGTGAAAAGTTGAAAAACATCATCATGTATATTTTAAAGTGAAAGTCCAGAGTTCATTGCAATATTGTTTTAATTTGTTTTTATTCCCACTGTCCCATCTGTTCAGTTTAGAGTTTCTTTCCATAACTTCTCCACCTATACTTACCAAAAAAAAGTTTCTTGATTCTAAAATAACTAAAATAGGCAAGTTATAAAGGCAGGTCTTTGGTTTCTCTGATTGAATCAATAAGACATTATTTTTCCCCTAAGAAAACAGAAAATGACATCTCAAAGGTGTCCTCAAGTTTTTCTCCTCTCTCTGGCCATGAAGACAGTTAGATTCTGCTTTGAAATGCCACTGTTATTTCCTACCAGCCAATCTTCCTGCCCATCTCATCTATCTTCTTTTCCCAAGAATAGCAATGACATCCCCGTTTTATACCCACTTTTCATCTCTTCCGTTTGATGCCAACAGCATGATGATAATAATGACAACACAAACATTTAGAAAAACAAAACCCCTTTTGGAGCTGAACAAAGTGCCACAGGGTCATTTCTGAGCATTTATATTTGTGTGTATTCTTCCTTATAGTGAAAGAGAACTTGCTTCTCTGGAACTTTTAACCTTCCAGAGCAGTGGATGCTGAGTCTCCATCCTCTGCCACAGAAAAACTCTTCTTGAGATTTCTCAAACCAGCTGGTACCCTCAATTGTCCCAGCTGTCTCAGGAATGTTTCCTCTCTGCATACTCTGCAGCCTCCACATTTTTTATTTTAAAATGTAGCATCCAGAATATAACATTGCTATCTAAGAACAATACCGACCACACAGTGTCCCTATTATCCAGGTTTCTTTTGATGAAATCTAAGTTTCTATCTCCCTTTATTCCCTCCCTTTCCCTTTCTCCCTTCCTTCCTCCTTCCCTCCCTTCCTTTCTTTCCCCTTTCTTCCTACCTTTTCCAGTCACATCATTTATTGGATCTCATTATGGAGGCAGTATTGCATAATGGTTAAAAGTTGTATGACTCTGGTTAAAAGTCATAGCCTTCTTAGCCTTTCTAAAACTCATCGAAAAATAGAGATAAATTTACTCCAACAGTATTTAAATAAAATACCATCTATATAGACTGTATCACACAGCATCTCAGTAAAGGTAATAAGTGACTGTCTCAATCTCCGTCTCACCCAATGTCACTCAGTTGTGTCCTATTCTTTGTGACCCCAAGGACTGTAGCCCACCAGGTTCCTCTGTCCATAGGATTCTACAGGCAATAAAAGTGGAGTGGGTAGCCATTCCCTTTTCCAGGGGATCTTCTGGACCCAGGGATCAAACTTGGGTCTCCCACACTGCAGACAGATTCTTTACTGTCTGAACCACCAGGGAAGCCAGAATGTCTCAATAAGTATAAGCTAGCTATTGTTCTTCAAAATAATGTCTTTTTTCTCCAAACAATGACAGGAGAACCAGCTCTCTCCCATCTTAACTTAGGCAAGACTTAACATTAATCGCTACTGAATTTCCTCTTGTTGGTTTTGGCCCAGAATACCAGCCTGCTGAGATCTGTTTGAACTCTGATCCTGTCACCCCATCGACAAGTCACT